CGTTGTCGTGCGGGCCAGGAACGATCAGGAAGGTCTCGGTGTGCCAACCGCACCTCATTTCTTCGCCCTCCCATACGGGTTTGACGTCAGGATCTCTGGTGTTGCCGACAACGGCATTTGGTCGCCACCACAACTTATTCCAGCGCCACCTACTGCCTAGTTGATGGATTGGAGCAGTGGCCTTGCATCAAGTATGGATATAGGTTGTTGATTGATCACGGGTTGTTGTAAACGAGTTTTGCTGCCAGAAGACAAGGAAGACATGGCCGCCAGCCATGGTGGCCACCGCTGCTGCCGCCTTCCTATGGTGCTACCACCGCCAAAATGCCACCAGGTGGGTGGTTGTGTTGCTGTTCAGAGCATAGAGAGTGCGTATGTGTTGATTGTTGATGTAGGCTTGGGTTTGTGTGGCTGGAAGATCAAGGACAGCCACCACCACCACCGTGAGGTGGTGGCTGCCACCATACACCAACGTGTGTGTGTCTTAGTGGCTGTGTGTGTACTTAGCTTAGTGTGTGTGTCTTAATTGGGTTTTGTGATGTATGGTGTAATCGATAAAGGATAATGGAAAAGAAAACCCTAATAGGCCCATGGAAACCCTAATTAACCCAAAGAGACCCTAATGGGCCCAATAAGGCCTAAAGTGACCTAAAAGCCTAACCAATGGATTAATGGGTTAGTACTGTGTTGGAAAAACGTAATTAGCGTTTGGAAAATCCTAATGGCATAAAACCCTAATTTGTGGGAAATCGTGAGAATTATTTAATAAACTTGAAATATTAAATAATAATCATTGGCAAACTAATTTAAGTCAGTAAAGGGCTTAATGGATTAAATCCCTAATGGATTAAGTCCTTAATGTGTTAAGTAAGAAATACTTAACCCTAATCATCATTTGTTAAGCGTGTCAAACCCAACAAATAAAGAGGTAAAATAACTCCTTAAACACTACTACTTTGTACTAGAAATGTAATACAAGGTAAGTAGGGTCGATCTACAGAGACACGGAACAAATGTTTATACCTTTTTACGGAAGGTACAATAATGGTCACATAAATGGGGGGTTGGTATGCAATGATTTAAACAAAAGAATAAAGCAATAAGTAAATGATCAATTAAATGAAACAAATTCAGGATTTGTGAGAACTCCAATTCTATGCAAGACAAATTAGCAATGTGATTCCGTGGATGACAAGATATTTGTTTAATTCTATCTAAGTTGGTACTTGAAAGTGTTAACAAGCTCTAACACTTCCCATTCACCACAATAATTAACCAAAACAAGCTTTTTGATTAATCCTAACCTTACCAATCTAATCTAAACAAGCTCTTAGAGTTAGGTTGAAAGATTGCATTAAACTTTATGTGAATGTTCCCAACAATAATCAATACTCCTCATAAGCTCGGGAGCATAAAAATGTGTGAATAGATTTACACTAATTTCATTCAATAGAAATCAGATTAGTGCTTGTTACCTAGTCCAATTTACAAAACAATTATGGATTTTGCAATTAGATAACTTGAATGATCTAACCCAAATCCAAATGGCCAATAAGAATCACAATTAGAATCAAACATTCAATTGAGACAAAATCAAATTCACTAGATAGAAAATTGAAAGCAAACATCAAGTCATATGATTGAAATCACATCCAAATGTCAAGACATAAAGTTGGAGAATTTAGGGTTTTAGCCACTCATGGCTAGAACAAGATCACAAATCTAGAAAATGAAATTAAAGTTCTTACAAAATGAAATCAAATGTTCCCAAGTGTTAATCAACTTCAAAATCCTCAAGAAATTCGCCTTCTCTACTCCAAAAGTCGACCCCCTCTGTAAAAAGTCGGTTCCCCCTTTTAAGAATGGTGAAAAACTGCTTTAAAACTCACGTTTACGTTTACACGGCCCGCGTAAATTAGCACTGTCATTTACACGGCCCGCGTAAACGCAAAAATATACTGCGCAGAAATCTACGTTTACACGGCCTGCGTAAATGCAAGGCTTCCATTTACACGGCCGTGTAAACGTCTGTAAAGCCAAAATCCTCATTTCTTTGATATCTTGCTCCTCGGTGCTCCGCAAGTCCTGAAATTTTGTCTGCAACTTTTATTTACCTCCTCCAACAATATCCTTCCTCCAAAAGTCCCTAAAATATCACAAAAGTATTTGAATGAAATTGCCTCACGAAAAATCCCGAAAAACATGCAAAATACATGAGTTTAAGCCTATATGCAATGTACTTTTATAAAATAAAGCTACAAAATGGGTACATGAAATGCACCTAACATCATTTCATGTGAAAACCCTAATTTTAGGATTATGGGCTTGGACTTATCGGGACCCACATTTGGGTCATTGGAATTGAATTGTGTATTAAGCCCAATCACACCATATAACTTATTTAGTAAAGTAAAGGACTTACTTAACCCTAATTGTCATTTTATGTGAAACCCTAATTTCACTTGGACTTTTTGTTGGGCCTTTCTATTAGGCCTTGGTGATTAGACTATGGATGAGCTATCCAAGAACAAGTTAATGGATCGAAATAATTAGATGGGCTTTAGGATAAGGCCAATGTGAGAGACTTGGGCCCAATTTGGAAAATTGGGCCATAGATGGGCCATATTTTGGGCCTTTATGATTATGTAACATTGGGCCATCAGAATGTCGAATGTTGGACCGGACTAATTGGTTGGGCCTTATGGTAAGACCTTATAAAGGTTTGGGTCCAAATTGGAAAATTGGGCCATATGTTGGGCTTGTGCCTATTACTTGACTTTTGGGTCTTTGGAGTGTGAATTGGACCTTGGGCTTGAAACCCAATTATTAATTGGGTAGTGTTTGATGGTGACAGCTTGGGATTCTGTCAACCAGCAGCTGGAGTTTTGTCTGCAGGACTTCAGCAGTACCAGGTGAGTTATCCTCACTATACTCAAGGTTCTAAGGCACCAAGGCCGACCCTATAAATTGCAATCTATTTATGTTATGCTAGTATGATATGTTAGATCGGTATCTTTGAGGGTAGGATAGTATTATGTAGTATATGGTATGATCCGTTAGATCAGTTGTTGTCTATAGACTATTATGTGATTATCTGTTTGTGGGCCTGGGGTATTCCAACCGGTGGTTGATATATATATATATATATATATATATATATATATATATATATATATATATATGTATATATATATATATGTGTGTGTGTGTGTGTGCACATATTTGTTTGGCGGTTGAGGCTCATCTATTTTCTGCAAAAGCCAATAGACCTGGGTATTCCAACCTATTGGTTGTGGGCCGTGAGTATTCCATCCCGTTGATGATCGAACTCATAGTATGTGGGCATTCCAACCTGTTGGTTGTGGGCCTAGGGTATTTCAACCGGTGGTTGACTTGACCCATAGTATGTTGTTTATGATTATATGTGTATTGTTGTGGGTATGGGTGTTTTGAGGGAACTCATTAAGCTTTGTGCTTACGGTTTCAGTTTATTGTTTCAGGTGCTCCAGATGTCTTGGCAAGGCGAAGGCGTGACCGTACACATCCTCGTGTTTTGGACTTATGGGTTCTTGGATACTCTAATATTAAACTATTGTTGAAAACATTTGTAATAACTAATGGTTTTTTGATGTTTGAAAAGTTTTAAATTGGCTTGAACTTTACGGGTGTTACATGTTTAAGAAGAAATTAAATGCAGATGGATCCTTGTCTCGTTATAAAGCTCGTCTTGTTGCTAATGGACGAAGCCAAAGACCCAGTATAGACTGTGACGAGACTTTTAACCCTGTGCTTAAGTCGGCCACTATACGTATAGTTCTTAGCATTGTCGTCACACACAAGTGGCCCATTTGTTAACTTGATGTGAAGAATGCGTTTCTTCATGGTCACTTACAGGAAACCGTTTATATGCAACAGCCTCCAGGCTTTCGGGATCCTTCCAGACCTAATCATGTCTATCTCTTACAGAAATCATTGTATGGTCTTAAACAAGTTCCACGAGCTTGGTTTCAGCGATTTGCTAAGTTTCTCTCACGGATTAGTTTTGTTCATAGCGGGTGTGACTCATCCTTATTTATATATAGACAACGCGATTCTATGGCATATCTTTTACTATACGTGGATGACATTCTTCTCACTGGCTCTTCTTCTCGGCTTCTCACTCACGTTATTTCCTTGTTGAATGCCAAGTTCTCCATGACAAATCTTGGTGATCTACATTATTTTTTAGGTATCTCAGTTGTTCGGTTCACCACTGGTCTCTTTCTATCTCAACAAAAATATGCCACTGAAATTCTTGAACGTGCTTCTATGTTCAACTGCAAACATGCCCGTACTCCTGTAGATATGTCCACTAAACTTGATGGGTCTGGGCCTCCTGTTGATGACCCTCTTTGTGTCGTAGCCTAACAGGAGCTCTTCAATACCTTACATTTACGAGACTAGATATTACATATGCAGTTCAACAAATTTGTCTATACATGCATGATCCCCGAGAACCTCATTTTAATGCACTTAAGCGCATCATGCGTTACATTTGTGGCACTGCGGCTCATGGTCTTCAAATATTTTCCTTGCCCAATCGCGATCTGATTTCCTATTCTGACGCCGAATGGGGTGGTTGCCCGGTCACTAGACGCTCCACTTCTGGTTATTGTGTCTTCCTTGGGCACAATCTTCTATCGTGGTCTTCCAAACGTCAGAATACGACATCGCAATTGATCTTCATTTTGTGAGAGACAAGGTTGCTACTGGACATGTTCGCGTTGTTCATGTTCAATCTTTGTCTCAATATGCTGATATTTTTACGAAAAATCTCTCTTCTACTTTATTTCTTGATTTTCGATCCAGTTTGAACGTTCGAGATTCTCCTTCCGTTCTCACTGCGGGGGGCTGTTAGCGGGTTTATTATTTTATTTATACTTTAGATTGTATTGTTATTTGTCCGGCCCATTGGCCCTTATGTTTGATATCCTTGTATGTATACTTTGGAATAATAGAAGATCACACACAGGAAATTACATTAGTTTACAACACAAACCATTTACAAATCAATATAATACTTAGAATATAACCACATATTCCACAGAAGTGAAATTCAAGCATGATATAGTTTACAATAAAAGTTAATTTCTTCTTTCACTTTAGTACATTACTGAACAATAAATTTTAAAGAAAACCAAAATTACCATTTACCCATTCTGTAGGATTTCATTTAAGTATCCCAAATGGCAGCAACAGCGACCACCAAGGATATAAAAAGCTGGTTTTTAACATCAGTAAATCTTGAGGAATGGCTTTTTACAGTTGCTGCTTGTGGTGGTGGCAAATTGATGACGTGTACATGTAGCTTCATGCCCCCATAGCAAAACCCTTTGCTGCTAATGAAGTAATAATCACGTGTCACATTGAGTGGCACCACATCTCTTCCTTCCTGCTCCCGTGGTGTAATTGTGAAGCGGGTGCTCCGCATTGCATGATTCGTAGTTTGTTTTATTGACTTCCAATACATCGTTTTGGTTCCTGTCATACACAAAATCTTAACAGGAACCAAAACGATGTATCTATTAACAATCTTTTTTATATAAATTAGGAATTAAGAATAAAAAGGTTGTTACTTATTTTAAATAATTCTGAAACACCCTTTTCCAAATAAAGGTCAACACCTTTTCTTTTCAAGTATGAAAGCCTCTTTGCAAAGCCATATGACCATTGTGGGTCTTTACTACAAATAAAAAATATTATCCTTTAACATGATTCCTTTATTATATAATTTATTAAATTGGTTTATTATCTTAATTTATAGATAGATTTGTATATTAGAAGAATAAATAGCTTATGAGTAAATTGAATTTAAATTTAAGTTTTATATAATAATTTAATAACAATATTTTCATTATTAAGTTGTACATTTATCTTTGATTTCTAAAATATGATACCCTTGTATAATAAGTCTCCTTATTGTAAAAATGTCTGAAACATAAATTTGTGCATACATATTACTATATTAGGAAAAGAAGAGAGTTAGAGCCGATTTAGAAGAGAAAAAATGCAAATCTATTTAAACGTTGTTTTTGAAATAAATTAAACATTCTATTATTTTGTTAATTAGATAATAAATATTATACTAATGTTAATATTTTAATGAATTTTCTAAAGGATTAAAAGAGTTATCAAGTTCCAAATCAACATTCTATAATTAGGAAATGAGCACAAATATGACGACAGCCGACAGAATGCTGTTAACATATCAATTACCTAACAAACACAGTAAATCAAGCATTAATGCACTGAAATAATCATGATCACAAACATTACGTATTCGTTTATTTCAAATTATATACAATTAAGCCAAGAGAATAATACGAATTCTGCTGAATATCCAGCTTAATTAGCTTCAAAATTACTGATAAATGATAAATATATGCATAATGAAGGGGAACAGATTGTAATTAAGATATATCGAGAAGCATATGAGAGTAGATCTGAGTGTATTATATGCACATGTGTTACTTACAGAGCCAATCGCCGAGGTAGAAAGTTTGGTTTCCTGCCCAAAGAGTGTAGTTGACGTTGGAAGTCCAGCCCATATTTCCTCCGACGTTGAATCGTTTGGCAGAAACATCCGGCAACATCATCATAACCACGGCGCAAACCAGCACTCCGACCGCCGTCGACCACCTGCTACTGCGGCTGATTCTCATTCTGCTTCCGTATGCCGTATGCGAAAGTACTGAGACTGACAAATTCTAGTTTCTTCCAGACCTCTCGTTTCTATTTATGCCACAAATTGAGTGTCAGGAATAGAAAGAATACTTTTCGGGTTGTCTTTCGGGTCATGGGCCAATGTAGCCCAAAAAGGAAATTTAAAGTCAAAACAGCAAATGGAAAACTAGTGGCAAAGTATCAAACTCAAACATTATCAATATCAAGTAGGTGTAAATTGGTAAAATTGGCCTTAAAAAGTCAATTTGACAAAAACTCAAAATAAATAAATAATATTATATTGTGTCTATCGAAAAAAAAAAATACTACTTCAAAATTGATTTAGAACTAAGATAAATATTTATAATAAAGTCTGAAAATGCTTGTAATAAATGTATTAAAAATAATAGTACAGTATCGAAGGAAGTACTAAAAATATGCATCCTTTTATGTGGTTGATATTTACAACGGAATAAATATGTGTAAACAATTTTGGTAGGTTTTTGAACCACCACATGTCACATGATTTAAAGGACACATAATAAAATACTTATAATAGACGTTGATGTATATTATAAAATATATTTTGTTATAATATATTATAATTTATTTTGTCTAATATTTGAAAATTGACTAAAACATCCATTGCTAGTGGCAAATAAATAGGTTCGCGGATCAAACTAATATCTTAAGACTTAAGTCTTATTTGATAATTGATAAGTCTTTTATTGGGTTTAGTAAAATGTCACGTCTAAATAAAAAACATTATGTCGATAATTTCTCTTTATTTCAAATATGATATCTATGTGACATAGCAATATGTGTATGTTCAAACAATTACTAGGATTACATTACATGAATCAAGAGTCAAACGTGGTGCTAATAAACAAAGAAAACCAACCACTTCATAACAATAAGAATTACATTAATGAAATCGTAAATTATCATTCTTAATCGACCTAATCAACATAAATGATTTACAACCTTTAGACCCGGTATCCAACACATGCTTCAGTTTAAACATTTGTATAGTGGTTTTCTAGACAATGACGTTACTAAATTACAATCTCTTTATTATTATCTCACCATCGTATATCCATAACTTTGATCCCTATAACACATAATAGTCAATAGACAACAGATATCATGTGGATTGAAACTTCCAGAAGCACCATGACATCGATCGTGTAAAATACCATAAATTTCATGGTTCAATCAAGTCTTCTCAACAAATACTCAACCTGAACTTGTTTAGTCAAGGGCATAATCCAATCCCCATAAAGATCTGCAACTAAGCTTGGGTTTATTTTGTACACCGGCTCCGGTGAATCTTTCACGTCAACCACTTGCCCATAAGTCTTCGCTTTTGTTTCTACCCTTTTCTTAATCGCCTCCTCCACAATCGGATATGTCAACAAATCCATCAGTTTCCCGCGATCCTGCACACATAATCAATAAATCCCATAAATTTGAAACCATTTTCATAGAACGGAAAGCAATTGACGCGAATGATTTGTTCACAGATGAGAGAATCCTTACTTGTGCTTTAATGGCAGCTTCATAATCATCTGGTGAAGCTCGAAACTTTGCTTCTGCTACAAATTTACCGTAGTGGATCCGTTTAGAGAGGGCCTGCGTATACAATTTCAGGAAATTAGAAGGTTTAGAGTCTCATTTGTGATGAAAAAGATGAGAAGTTGCACTGGTTATTACCTGCAAGCAAATGGTGTCGCAGGTTGCAGTTGATCCACAATTACCATCGTTTCCTTTCTTGACGAGTCTAGGAAGAAGATCTTTAAAATACATATCCCATATCTTGCGATTGATATTGATTGCATCTGCACTAGGATGCAACACCTATAGATACATATCAAGAAACTGTCGTTGTTTACATCCTAAAACACGAATAAAGATGAAATTTTTACCTGTGGGTACTGCAATGGTGGCAACAGAGGTTCAGGCAAGTCGTTAGGGAAAAAGGGATGCTCGTCGGGGTTCTTGTATCTCCCAACCTGTTTCAGAATCAGTCAGAAATTTTATCTTAATTCTTATATATAATCATTGGATTTTCCATAGACTTACCTTGGCGTGAACCTTTTCGGTTTCTTGGACCATGAACTCGACCAATGAGCCCTGGAAACCATCCATGAAGAAAGCTTTGGGGTCGTATGTATCCTCATTGTAACAATATTGAGCTCTTTCCACAATGCTAAATATAATGCTATCCTCTTGTCGAATTAGAGAGCTTCTTATTCCGTCAAGAGTATAGATCTCACTTTCGTCTATTCTAGTCGGATTCTTCATTCTACACGAAAACAAAATCATATAAAACTAAAACTTGAAGGGAAGATTCATCGCATAATCCATGATTTTCGCTACAAAGTGTCAACTCGTCTAAAACGGATTTCGCTAGCTTAAAATCGAGGCATAAATCACAACTGCTCTTTGACACAACGGTGATCAAGTCTTGAAACAAACCATAGAAGGGTATAAGGCAATAAAGGATCTCGTAACACGAGTAAAAGGTGATTTATATGAAACAAATTACAAAATATAAAAAAAATTGGGTCTTGGATTGGAAGGGTACCCGAGGGATGCAGAGGGCTGAATTGATTGGAATTGGAAGCCATTGTTTGGAAACCCTGAAATGGAAACCTGAAAGTTGCAATTTTTCCATATTGGAAAGGCAAACTTGGGAGATTTTGACGATGAAATGGCGGACATGGCAGGAAACAATTGGGATCCCAATAGCTTGGTGGCCTCCATTTTTGAGTTGAAAGAGAAGAGAAGAGAACTGAGAATAGGTGGCGAGGATGGAGAAAGAAAAATATAGATTAAAACCCACCCAATCAAGAATAAGAAAGTCTCAGGGGTTGGTGGGGTTTGGGGGTTAGGTAAGGAAGAGTGTAGGTAAAGCTGGCAAGGTGGTGGTTCTATTTTTTTTCTCCAAATGTATATGTTAACAAATACAATTATACATTGTGCTTCATGGAAAAAAATCTATAAATATATTATTATTATTATTATTATTTAAACTAAAAATACATATTATATAATATTATATTGATAGCATAGATAAAAATAGTATTATTCCTTAGAATCTCTCTTATAAATGTTAAGGTAGATATCAGAAAAAAAAAATCTGTTTTTATTTGAAAACTCATTATGATTTTTTTTAACAAAAAAACTAACGATAATTCGAATTTTTTTTATGTAAATCATTATTTAAAAATATTTATTGATCATTATAAGACATAAAAAATTAGGTTGTTCTCGACTGTGATAAAAATGAATTGTGTTATTGTAATTTAAGTATCTATAACATGATATCCTAGGTAAATAAGTTTTCATAAAAAATTTACAAACTGTGAGTAGTTTTTCTTTTTATTTTTTTATTTTTTATTTTTATTTTTTATTTTTAATATGATGACCTTTCAAGTAAAAAGTTGAACATATAAAGACTTTTTATCAAATTTGCACTAAATAGTATCTGAACTCTCTATGAATTTTTTTTGTAAGTCTATCTACAAAGAATTTCCTCAATGGGGACTTGTTTATTAACAAATTCTTATCCATACCATGTGGCTTGGGCTAATCACCTCTAACCAAAACCGGTCCAAACATATTTTAAATTAAAAAAAAAAGCACTTGATTACATAAATTTAGTTGATATTACTAAAATACATGACCAATACCCTTTATATATTACTAAGAAACATTTGAACGCAAAAAGTTAAACTAGATGAAATTATGACTCAACTTATCCCATTTTGTATCATCACTGGCTTCACTTTTTTTTTTCTTTTAATTTTATAAAATACCATATTGACGGTATCTAGTTTTTTTTTTCCCCTCTATTATATGTATATTAGCTAAAATTTCTAGCCCAATGTTGTATCTTTTAGTCATCGGCCCATGGCTTTAGTCTTGTATATATATTCTTGTAATTATTATCGAGATGAAAGGAGATTAATTCCATAATATAAACGACTCTTATATAGATAGACAACCCATAAGAATAATTAAAGTTACGTACTTCTCCTGGACACTTAAAACAGTTTAACTGGTCTCTCAAAAATATTAGTAATTCCACAAAGTATAAGGTGTATAGCAGAGTAATTAACTTGCAAAAACGTACTACAAAAAGATAGCTTCTTTCATAGACATTTCAAGTAAACCATCATTTAACCTTCAACCAACCATTTGTTTAGAAAAAAATAAATCTCTTACCAAATGCTTTGAATGCCTTGTTTATATCTTGTAATTCTTATCAGTATTGACATACACACATAAAGTCCTACTTAAAAGTTCTTATCTATTACAAAAGCAAACAAACGCATTGCCTATTTGATTTTACTAATATTTACATCTTAAATAGTTAAATCTAATAAACCCACAAAATATAAGTTAGCAAATTAACAAAGATTCAACACACTCGCACATAAAAGATCCATGATATCAACCGGAACATTGTTGTGAAATGATCGATCATAATTGCCTATTGTTTAGGGTGGTGGATAAAAGCAACATGTTATCATATGTTATTACTTCTAAAAGTTGTCATCACCAATTAGAAGAAATGGGCAATACATTATAACATATTATAAGATCATAGGGTATGGTATGGTCGCAAAATGTTCTACATATGTGCCACATCACTTCTATTATATATTCACTACATATTACTTATCTTTTTGTTATTATTATTTTGACATTATATTAAATAACAAAACACAATTATTAAACATAAATAAATATTTTAGTAATAAAAAAAGTAAGTTAAATTAAATAAAAAACATAATTTTAAAATTCAATAAATATTTAAAGCTATGTTAGAAATTGAAAAAATATAATTGAAATATATAAGTCAGGGATCTAATCTATAATCTTCGAAAATCATTTATGTATAAGAAAATTTATTTAGGATCGTAGGTGTAATCATCCAAGACTCCAACAACCAAAACTGTCAATTTTTTATTTTGTTATGCTCTTCTTTCTAGTATTGTCGCAGCTCCTGTGGAGCTCTTTTCCGCCATTTGTAGCCTACAATATTCATCTCCATCTACCATTTTCTTAATAAGTTTTGTTTTAATCCTCTAAATCCACAAGAAAGAAGGAATAAACGGTCAAAATTTCAATCAGCCAATCAAATTCGTCGTGAAGCTCTGTGAGTTGGTCCAATCTACACCACGTCTACACACCTTGGGGGCGGTCGTGTGAACATCGCCTCCAGCTCAACCCCTACGTGTTAGAAACATCCCCATACTCGATAGGCTAACACCCTCTAATTTTCATGTCATGGTAACTTTCTTTTTAGACATAGAAGAATTACTAACTTGGTAAATTTAACATCTAACAACTAACACACCGTTCAAAAAAAAGTTTGGGTCGAATTTTTTTTTGGGGGGGGGGGGGAAATCATATTTGTAAGACTAAGTTGGCTAGGGTTTAACTCATAAGAACCTGGAACTTAGGGGGCCAAAACTGCCCAAACCGAAAAGTTCTTGTTTTTCTTGGTTGTTACCGATACGTACAAAAGGGGAGGGTAAGTCTCACAATTTACGGACCTGCAACGGTCACATTCATCCAAAAACCCCTGTTGTCCTTCGTTACCAGCATTATGGATGGCCACATAACGCGCAAAAACGACTAGGTTGGGCGGTGTGCAGCCGTTACCACGATGTTTTTTAGGCCACGTCATCATAACTGGAGTGGGCATTACCCACTGATTAGTCTTAGAAAAGGGAAACTTCTGCCATTTCATTGAAATTGCATTTTGAATGAAGATTGTGGATTAAAACGACATACAAAACTATGAATACTATGTTTCTAAAATACTAACAAGTAAAATAATTAGTTTGATTATAGCGTGATTTTATCTTATAGTATATACTTTTTTGTTAGTATACATTGATCATTGTACATGTTATGTAATTCTCCGTTCATGGGTTTATTTCCGATCCAAATGAATAGGAGGAATATCTTCATGAGAAAAAATACGCTTCTCTACCGAGCACATATACCACCCATACAATGGGTAGAAGCTCTCCACATTCTCACTTACATTCTCAACATCCTATTGTCCATCACCCTACAAAACGATACGACATACCACAAGCTCTTAATGTCAACTACAATATACCTACACACATACCTTCGTGTCTTTGAATGTAATTCTACCCCCACTTAACAACCGATCATAACTTGTGCCATGAACAACACCATGCGTTTTCCTCTGGTATCCTTTGAATCATAAAGGATATCAGTGCCTAAAACTAACTACCAAGAAAAATGTCATATCTCATCATATCACTTTTGATGAAACAATGCTATATGACACATAACTTCCTTATTTATATAATTTCGTTGATACATCCGACGATGCAAACAACATATCTATCACTCCCTACATTTACCTACAATCGAACACCATACTGTCACTTCAACTCCACCACCTAACCCTCAAGACACCTCACACATCGCCATATTAGTAGCCCACTTATCCTCTCCATCTATTTGTGTGGCCACGAGACCAGCCGCCTTCTTCCATCGGTAGCTACAGCTCCGCCTTAAGCCACCATGACAACCATGTCGGCTGCCGCCTCATCTCTAACAATACGCAATGCTACGTCAGCAGCCAACAACCCTACCCTCGTTGCCACATCATTGACCTCTCCACCACCGCTTCAATCCATCAATAATCTCTTTCTATATGCTCTCTTTGGTCAAGCATCCTTAGTTGTTCCATACTCATCAACTAGGCACAACATAGTTAAACCAATTCAAAAACTCAAATCTTTTAGTCGAGTCCTCTCATCTTTCAAATATGCACTCACGATCATTAAAAGAGCCTTATTTGCTTAATGATATTAAAGAGGAATACAATGCCATGGAAAAACCAGACTTGATATATTATGCCAAGACCTACATGTGCAAATATAATTAAATGAATATGGTTGTTTAAAAAAACAATGTTGGTGGATCATTCTCGAGATACAAGACACGGATTGCTGCTAATAGTTGTAAGCCAACAACCTGGCATATATTATGATGAAATATTTATTCTAATTATCAAACCAACCAACATTCGCATGGTTCTCAATCTAGATGCATCCCATAATTGGCCCATTCGACAACTTGACTTAAAGAACACTTTCATCCGTGATTATCTCTAAGAGATCGTCTACATGTAGCAACCTCCAAGGTTCTAGAATAATATATTTCTAAATCTTGTGTGCTCGCTCAAACGTTCTCTTTACCCATCTCTATGTCATAGTTTAGTATGGACCCTTTGGTACCTCATATTTACTCGTCCAAACATTAATTATCTGGTCAAACAGATTTGTTTGTGCATGTGTGTCCTTGAGGAACACACTCAGCAACTCTAAAAAGAATTATTCAATATGTTTGCAGTAGGACAAATTTTAGATTACACTTTTTTGCTTCATGCTCTTAGGGGCATATAACATATTCTGTTGATAGGGATGGTTTCCTCAACACTCATCATTCCAATTTAGCATATTGTGTATTTTGGGGGCAAAACCTACTTCCGAGTATGTTAAGATCTTCACTAAATGACTTGCTTCTCTTTTATTTATGGAATTTAGGTCCACACTGAACATTAGACAATCACCTCCCATTCAAATTACAAAGACTGTTAATATATATTTATTATTGTACATGTTATGTAATTATCGACTCATGGTATTATCATTGGCCCAAAGTTTGCTGTATTATTTTTATATGTCGTCAATGAACGAAATAACGATCTTAATGGAAAAATACATAATTGCAGTTTTATTTTATCAAATATTTAGATGCAAGAGTCAAATAAAAATTTCTTTCTATATACTGAAACTTCATTTTATTATATCTTCTTAATTTAATATAAGGTGTTTTGATTTTTTTTTAATTTTATTTTAAA